CACAACAGCAAGGCATCGACTACGAGGAAACGTTCTCTCCTGTTGCTCGCTTTGAAACGGTGAGAATGTTTTTGGCCTTGGCTGCTCATCTTAAGTGGCCTCTCTATCAACTTGATGTTAAGTCTGCGTTTCTAAACGGAGACTTGGAGGAGGAAGTCTATGTCATGCAGCCGGAAGGATTTGTCGTTGAAGGAATGGAGGATAAGGTTTATCGGTTGAAGAAAGCCTTATACGGATTGAAGCAAGCTCCGCGAGCATGGTACAGCAAGCTCGACTCATTTTTCCAACAAAATGGGTTTTACAGAAGTGCTAATGAGCCTACGTTGTATGCAAAGAAGGGAGGTAAAGGTAGTTTGCTCCTTGTTTGTGTATATGTTGATGATATCATCTATATGGGATCATCTTACTCTATTGTTCATGAGTTCAAAGAGAGTATGATGAATATGTTTGAGATGACAGATTTGGGGCTGCTTAGTTATTTTCTTGGGTTGGAAATTAAGCAAGGAGAAGATGGAGTGTTCGTCTCCCAGAAAAAATATGCCGAGGATCTTCTCAAACGCTTTAATATGAAAAATTGCAAAGCTGCAATTACTCCCATGAATATGAATGAAAAATTGCAGCAAGAAGATGGAACAGAGAAAGCTGATGCAGTAAGCTTTCGTAGTCTGGTTGGAGGTTTGATTTATTTAACGCATACGAGACCCGATATTGCCTTCGCCGTTGGTATGGTTTCCCGATTTATGCACAATCCAACACGTCAACATTATGGAGCTGCAAAAAGGATTCTACGCTATATAGCTGGAACTCAAGATTTCGGTATTTGGTACTCAAATGTTGATAAATTTGAGTTGGTTGGGTTCACGGACAGTGATTGGGCAGGTTCCGTGGATGATAGGCGAAGTACTTCAGGCTTCATTTTTAATCTTGGGTCAGGAGCTGTGACGTGGAGCTCCAAGAAGCAAGGTGTAACAGCACTTTCGACAGCAGAGGCAGAGTATGTGGCTGCTACTTCTTCGGCATGCCAGGGAGTATGGCTGAGAAGGCTTCTAGCTGACTTGGAGCAAGAGCAGACGAAGGCTACTGAGATTTTTTGTGATAATCGATCAGCTATTGCGATTGCAAAGAATCCGGTTATGCATGGGAGAACGAAACACATCGAAATTAAGTTTCACTTCATAAGAGATTTGATTAAAAAAGGGCTCATCTCTTTGAAATTTTGCAGCAGTTTAGAGAACTTGGCTGATATTTTCACCAAATCATTGTCCTCACAGAAGCACGTCAAGTTCAGAAATATGCTCGGAGTATGCAACTATGAATCAAGGGGGAGTGTTGATTAAAGATTATTGATTCATAATTGACAGCTCATCATAGACTAAGTCCTTATTGGTTATTTTCATTATTCCTATTCTTTTGGTATTACTATTAGTGGAATAAGTCATGGTTAGTGGAGAGGATTTTTAGGATCTCTAATTTGTTGAAGTTTATCTCCGTTTGTTTTTATGTTTAAGAGCTCTATAAATAGCTCTACAGATCAGTGAATAAAAATTAGTTCTTCTTCTCAGTTCTATATCTACTTTGAAGTCTTTGTTTTTTTTGTTCTCTGCATTCCAGTTCCAACAGATTCTCGCACTCCGACGATGTCATTGGCGGCGGAGATGGTTTCATTGTAGGCGGCCTCGATTGCACTCGCAACCTCAGCCGGGGTGGTGGCTCCGGCAGCCAGGGTGACGATCAGAAAAAGGGCAAATGCGGCGGCGGCGGCGGCGGACTTGTTCTTCATGCTTCTCGCGCGTTATTTTAGGGTCACGACGACAACCTTATTGACGGTGGTTTAAATAGGATGTGAGATCTTAATTCTTAACCCGTCAGTGATGTTAAAATTACCGTAATACCCTCAGGTGGGGCTCAGCTTTCGAGTCTTCCGCGCGCGGACTTTGATAACCTCTTGAAAAAACTCAAATCCTCCCCATACGAACTCACTTACGTCTTCTTCCCATATCACTCCTCGGAAATCCAAAAAAAACTTAATTGTTCGAATAAATTTCATAAATAATCATTAATTATAGATGGTTTTTCATATCTGGCCTCTAATTAATCGATATATTTTATAAATAGTATCCCATTTTTAAAAATTACTCCCTCCGTCCATGTAAGATGTTCTCAATTTGACTTTTCACGATTTTTTTGGAGAGTTGAAAAAAGGTGAAAGTTTACCAAAATACCCTTAATGAAAATGGGTGGAGTGTATTAAATAAAGTGGGAAAGGTGTAATAAATAAAGTAAGTAGGGGTAGTTGTGGTATTTTAATTATTAAAAAAGGTAATGAAAAGATCTATGTGGGACAAATAAAAAGGGCTAATGGGAAGATTTATGGGGGACGGAGGGAGTATTTTATAAGCGGTCTTTCATGGGTTATTTTTGGAAAATTTTTTCCCTCAAATTTGGCTTAAATGACTAATTATGAAATCATTTTGCAAATTTGAGAGCCGTTCATGGAATATCTAAGAGCTGGGGACTAAATATGGAAAACCTTTCGTAATTGGAGACCATCTATGGAATTTGCTCTATTTATTTTCGTAATTAGTACTCCCTCAGCTCCTTCCTTTTTTTATTCCACTTTCACTTTACATGTAAAAAAGAAAAGGTAAAAAATA